TTGAGGGTTTATACAAATTGTATAGGGTTCAGGTCGGGAGTTTTGAGCGGGTTTTGGGCGAGTTTTGATGGAGTTTCCGTTTTAATTTTCATCCTATACAATTTGTATTCATCTGGGCTTGAGGGTTTATGGTTTTAGGGTTTTTTAGGGTTGAGGGTTTAGGGTTTAGAGTCTAGTGTGTTTTTGTAAATAGGTGTTTTGCTTTTGCGGTTTTGGGAGTTGAGGGTTGATGGTTCCAGGCTCAGGGGGTTTAGGATGCTGTCCTTCGAGGTTTAATTAGAGTTGATTTAGGGTTAGGGTGTTGGGGTTCAGGCTTTCAGGTTGTTGAAGTTGAAGGTTTACATAAGGTTGAGGGTTTAGGGTTTAGGGTAAGCGTTTGAAGGAAGCGGGGTTCTCAACATACAGTACTCGGAGCTCCAGATTCATCACAGTACACTAACGGTACGTATATGCACCGACATCCTAAACCCCAAATCCGCAGTCTACTGGGTGGCTGTTAAGGAACTGAATTCAGCTATTATAACAAAACCCTATTATTCAAGCTATACCCATAACAAGGTAACTTTATTTAAGGTCCTTCTCAGTAGCCCAGTCTTATTGGTTTGTAATTCGGGTACTGCTCATTAACAGTTGGATAATATCTATCTATAATGTAAGTATATCTATCTATAATATAAGTATATAAAGCCCTTCATATGACCCCTATTACAGACTGTTAATATGTGGGAGCAGGACCCAACTCATTGGAACCTCCTCCAAGTCCTCTAGTGACTCCAGCGTTGTGCGAAGGCGATAGCGGCCCCAGCAATATTAGGGATATCTTGAGGTTATATGGGAATAATGGAAAATGGCAATTACAGAGACTATCGGGCGGTCATATGGATATGTAGGGATTATAGGGTATATCTTGGGGTTATATGCCTTCACGACCCTATACCTGGCAACTATGTGCAAAGTTCTTTCTTGAGATCTTTTTCCTAAGTGTGAACCCTTTTGTTGTCATCTCCATTTCAACGTAGGAAAAGAAAGGTTTGAGGTGCTCACGATGATAGCCCCATTGGGCACTGGGTCAACCCTTGAATCAAGATTCTTGTTGTCCTGCTTGAATATGATTTACCATGCCGATGCTTCTCGCACAAAGATCTTGACAGTCATCAAATGGTCTTTCCAATCTCTCAGCAACTTGGGCGTTTCCCCGTATAATTTCAGTTTCAGAGTTTTTGGGTCTAAGGGCTTATGAGGTTTTAGGGTTCAGGATTTAGGGTTAGAAATTTCTTTCGAAGTCTACTGCGAGGCGAAGGGACTTATCCGTTCACGGATCCATGGAACAATCCCTTTACAAAGACATACTTCCCTGACCGCTTGGCGCTTGCGGGACAGCGAATCTGCGGACCCTACATTGGGATATTTGACGGAGTCCAAGCTGACCTCGAGTTTGTCAAGAAGATCTTCTGCTTGCAACGTTTCTTGTCACTTTGGATCACGTGTTTGTTTTTGAGAACATTGCACCCTGCACTATGATTTTAAAATTTGAAAAGCAATTGGACATGTCCACAACCCGTCGAATCAGGTGATTATTCGAGGAAAGAGGTCTGTTTCTACAGCCGGGCCAGATTCTGGGAAAAGTTTGGTGTTACACTCTAGAGCCCCGTATTGTAAACCCAATAAGCCCTTAACCCTAAGCCCGAAACCCTAAACCATACGGGGGACATTGACATGGCGTTTCTCAACATGGGATATCCCAAAACCTCTAGCAGGGCTGAGGGTCTAGGGTTTATGAGGTTAGGGCTTAGTTTGGGAGGTAGTCTGGGATATGTTTGGGATTTGGGATTTGCGGTAAGCCCAATGCCCCATACTGTCAGCGTAACGTGGGATCTGGAGCGATATCCTGAAGAGGATTAGTAAAGTTAGGGTTTAGGTTGAGGGGTTCGGGTTTAGGGTTGGATTTTTGGCCCCAGCCTCTAATAAACCTCTACGCAACATAACATCCGCAGCCGGCCTCAATCCTATGTCCTAAGTCTCGAAGTCTGAAACCTAAGCAGCCTAGGCATAAACCCACACAACCACCAAAATTCGAACTTAGGGTTCTGGGCCTAGGGTTTAGGGCCCAACGTCCTAGCTCCAAACCCTACGCCCTAAAACACGTGGCTCCTCAGCCCTAAGCGCCAAGACGGTGTTTTTTTTCAGACAACAGCATCCCTGAATGGTTTCCCAAAATTTGGGATACATCCTGGGGGGTACGGAGGATCATTGTATTCTGGGCTGCACCCTAAGCACCCTAAACCCTTAAACCCCTAAACCCTAAACCTTAAATCCTCTACCCTAAGCCCTAAACCCCTAAACCCCAAGCGCTAAGCCCTAAACCCTAAACCCTGAACCCTAAGCCCTAGCCCTAAACCCTAAGCCCTAAACCCTAGAACCCTAAAACCCCCAAAAGCCCTAAACCTTAAACCCTTTCGGGAGACTTACACTCCCCCAAACTAACATGGAAACCCATATAGCCCCATTTTAGAGGGACTGTAGTCTTTATAGGGCCCCTTTTGGGTTTCCATGTTAGTTTCCAGGAGTGTACCTGCCAGGATGGTGGTTTGGTAACAAGTTGGGCGGGACACAGGTGCCACGCCTCGAAGAGTCAAGCCTCAAAGCTTAGGGTTTAAGTCTATAGGGTTTAGGGTTTAAGGTTTAAGGGTTAAGGGTTTAAGGTTCAAGGTTTATGGGTTTAGGGTTAAGGGTTTAAGGTTAAGGGTTCAAGGTTTAGGGTTAAGGTTTTAAGGTTTAGGGTTACGGGTTCAAGGTTCAGAGTTTAGGGTTTAGGGTTCAAGGTTCAGGGTTTGGGGTTGAAGGTTTAGGGTTTAGGGGCACGAAGGGGTTATAAAACCCAATAACAATGGAGAATCAAATGGAGGAGAAGATGGAAGTGCAAGACAAGCTTAAATGCCATAGGGTTTAAGGGTTCAATGGGGATCATTATCCATACTACGGTCAGCGATGCCTCGTATGATTCTAATGCAGGCACCTCAAACGGACCTCAACATATATCATGGGTTCCCCTACTACCCCCCCTAGATTCCCCCCTTAATTAAGGTTATGTTTAATTAAGGGGGAACCTAGGCGTAGGGGTAGTATAGAGGGGGGTAGTGGGGGAACCCATGAATAAAAGTGTATCAGTTTTAGGCTTCTGAATTTGCGTTTAAACGTCAGAATTAGGCTTCCAGATTTGGGCTTTGGGGTGCAGAGCTTTGTGTGGAAAGGGGTTTAGGGTTTGGTTTTGGGCGCAGGCTTCTTGCGTGGAATCCTAAACCCTAACATCCTTAAACCTTAAACCCGAAGACGTTCATGAGGCGAGCCTAGCAGTATAGTACTGTTCGTAGCCTTTTGGGTTCCATGCGTACGGGAGTGGGTGGAAGCTTTAGGGATAAGACCTTGTGGCGGGCCCTGGAAGCCCTTGTTCATAGGTTGAGGTTTAGATGGGCTTAGGTTGAGGGTTCAGAGTCTGGGGTAGGCATTTTTCCAAGCACTGAGTCCCTTCATATTCGATAGTTCTTTTTCGTGTCGTGTCTGGTGCGAAAGGGGGGTTGGGTCCGCCACCACCCCCCCCCCCCAAACTGCCCCCACACACCACCCTCCCCCCCCTCACCACCCGGCCCC